TCCCACTCACGCACCCAAACACGGAGGAGCCTGGGTGGCAAGAAAGGAGCATCAAAAAGACAACCAAGCAGACACGGCCAAGTCAACCAAGCTAAGATCTCCATCTACTTCGCCACAGGAGTTCTTGGACCTGTGCAAGGTAGGGGAGAATCAAACCAGTCTCGCTCTTGGTCCCCCAGCCCCAACGCCGAAGAAGGCTGCAGCGCGGGGTCTGAGGCCGAGCATCCCGCAACGGGCTCTCACTGCACTCCCAACATAAATGATGCCAAGTGCCCAATGCATCGCACCACAAACAACGGTCGCTGAACACACGCGTCGTCTGAAACCAAGCAGGGCTCACGGTGGCGCCCAGGGCGACGGACCTGCAAGCAGGGTTTTTCATCAACCGACGCATATGCTCAAAATCACAACGACGAAAAACCTGAATGTCAACGTTTCCAACGTCCACAGCCTCATGCCGACCGAGTACGACATACCGCCACCCAGAGCGAAGGTTATGAAGCTGCCTCTGTATCTGGGCATTAGCCCGGAGACAAAGGCGCAACCCCTGCCTTTTCCAAGACCAGGGAGCAACTTCGATCCAACCACGCTCTTTCAACCACTTTCGTAAAGTCCACAACGGGGTATACGACAGATCATTCCATTTACGACGAAGCTGATAAAGAACGCGAAACAAACCACAAGCACTGCGCACGTCAACGTCAACATGACTGTTACCCCCAAGGACAACGGCGCGCAACCACTTGTTGCTCATCCATGCAACTTTTTGCGCCCGCTTAACGGCCGCCCAAAGCTTGTTGCTGACACCCCACGTAGGGAGGCGAGCAATCCAACCGTACGACACAGCACTAAGACAGAACATGTTAGCATACCTGCCCATGACTTGTGCTCAAGCGCAAAGAGCCAAGAATCCGAAGAAGCTCAAGAGCAACACGAAACTAACTAACTTTGCTCAAGTGCCGACAACCACCCACATGGACAGGACACCACTGTGAGCCCTTCATAACAAAAGGACAGGCAACCATATGTTATGACATGAGTGAGTGCAGAAGCGCGGCCTACAGCAGGAAGCTTAAAGCAACACTGAACAGCCCACGTGCTCATCCATACAGAAAATCAAAGCAACCAAGCAAGAGACAACCAACTACGGCCTCTACAGAATTCACTGCTGACCGGAAGGAGCCTGGGTGGATAAGAAACGAGCCTTACAAAGCAAGCAAAAAAGCCTCCACTCGCACACACCACACACGGAAGAGTCTGGGTGGGCGAGAATCAAGCCTTATAAAGCAACCACGCAAGCACAACCAAAGCGACCAGGCTAAGATCCCCATCTACCACGCCACAGGTTACTCTTGAACCTGCGCAAGGTAGGGAAGGACCAACCCCGTCGAAGAAGACTGCAGGACGGAATCGTGGCACGAGAGCTAAAAAGCGGACTGGCGCGACAACCCCAAGACATGTGATGACAAGTGCCCAAGTCGTCGCACCGCAAACGACGGTCGCTGAACACACGCGTCGTCTGGAACGAAGCAAGGCTCACAGTTGCACCCAAGGCTACGGTCCTGCAACCAGGGTTCTTCATCAACCGACGCATATGCTCAAAATCACAAAGGAGAAAAGCCCGAAGGTCAACGTTTCCAATGTCCACAGCCTCATGCCGACCAGACGACATGAAACGGCTCCAACAGTACTCACGCCAACCGGAACGAAGATGGTGAAGCTGCCTCTGAAGACAAAGACGAAACCCCTGCTTTTCCCAAGACCAGGGAGCAACTTCATTCCAACCACGTTCTTTCAGCCACTTACGGAAAGCCCATAAAGCAGTGTACTTCGCATCGTCCCAAACACAGCTGCCCTTGCGACGAAGCCGATAAAGAACATGATACAAGCCAACGGGAATGCACATCAACATCAGTGTTACCCCCGAGGATAACAGCACGCAGCCATTTATTGCTCATCCATGCAACTTTCTGCGCCTGCTTGACGGCCGCTCCCAGCTTGTTACCGACACCCCACATAGGGAGGCGAGCAATCCAACCGCAAGACACAGCACTTAGACCGAACATGTTCTTCCCTTTTTTACCTATGTCTGTCGTTCTTTCTGTCTTTCCTTCTTTCCTTCCTTGTTTATGTATTCTCTTCTTCGTTTCACTAGTGCCTACTTTCAGTGGTTCTTGATTTCTGTCGTTCTTCTAGGGCATAAGGGTCCGATCAAGGACCCCCACCCGCTAGGGCGCGCCGCCTGTTGGGGATTTATGGACAGTCAGCCGAAGAGAAGGCAGCATACGTGCAAACTCTCTCACTCTATCTCTCTCTCTCGCTCTGTGGCTCTGATCTACTGTAGTCTGAACTGCAAGACCAAAACCAAGCCCCAAACACAAAACTGCCAAGAGCAGCCTTCTACAAGCAGTAGCTTTGATCCTATATAGAACGACCAAACACGATCTGGGCCCAAAGAAAGCATGTGTTGGGCAGGGCCTCGTCCAAAACACCCCTCTGTAACAAGGTAGCAGGTTTCCAAAGCCAGGCAGATGCAGAGCCAGACCACAACTAATCCTGGCCAGCCCTGTCAGAAACACAACAAAGCCGAAGCAGTTCTGAACCGGTACTCAAGTATCTGCAGCCTGGGTGCATTAAGTACCGCGAAACTACAGAATGCGATGTAAAAGCGGTAGATTTGGGCCCAGAATTCGCCGAGGGAGTTCATGCCAACAAGCAGATCGTCGGGGTTCTGCCATGTCACGCCATTGGAGATGGTTCTGAAAAGCGTGACAATTGAGCGGTACAAGGTCCCAAAGTAATGGGCCACATTCTCTCCACTTCCATTCTCCGGAAGAGGAATCTGTAAGGATTCGGCCTCGACCACTGCATCAAGCACGGCATCTGTAAGCAGAATTCCAAAAATGTAGATGATCAGCCCGAGGAGGATCATTGCCCAAACAAGAGATCTCAAGGTGCCCACCAACGAGTGAACCAGAGTTCGTAGGGAGCGGAAGAACTTGACCTTATGGTCTCAAGGACTTCCACAGCAGCAACCCACATGTGTTTATCTGTTTTCACAACTTTGCGTCTCGCTGGGGACCCAATCGAGATCTTGTTTGTTCGGTTAGGTTGGGAGACCATGCAAGACCTGCAGCTTGCTGGCTGTCTGTGCTGGACACATCAAGCGATAAGTAGTCTTGGGGCTGCACCACGCGGATGATCCTGACGACGCGGAATAGACGACCAACCCGGAGTAGGCGCATGAGCCGCAGATTGCTGTTGGCCCGGCTCGTGCTGTCTCCCGAACTTGTCAAGTCTACCAGCAGCTCCACCCACGAGGAAGTCACGACAAATACGTCCAGCCTGAGATCCGAGAAAGTTGCTCTATGGACGGCACAGACGCAACATGGCAATTGCAGGTCTACCTCTCCCTCCCTCGACCTCCGTGGGTCCACAGCAAGCTCCTTTCCACCTGCAGACAGACGGCCAGTTCCACGTCCAGTCTTCGGCACAAACAAATCCCCGAATGCCCTCCGCCATCAGGTGCAAGCAAACCTCCAGCAGGAGCATGACACACAAGAACAAGACCAGGTTCCAGCATCTCTCGCGTCAGCTACGGTAGGGCCCGAAGCTTCTTTCCCGGGGTGCCAGTCATGACAACCTACAGTCTACACACATTTTGACCCTGCCTCCAATGTAAAAAGAATGGCGTAGACGATGTGTAGCACCATGAACCCCTCGTTTGATCCGAAGTCCTTGTTGACCGCCTGGTGTTCAAGCTGCACCCCCAGGTACACAGAGTTGGAGACCACTACCAAGGCGAAGAAAACGTGCGAGACCTGACGGCAACAGTTGTGACTTCCTTTCAATGGTAAACAGTGTAGATGCCCGATCAGTCATCTAGTGGTTTTGTGATTTCATTTCGTTGTTTGGGAGACTTCTGTTTCAGGCTTGCTACGGTGCAAGTGTTTTGGAAGGCTTTCTGTTTTTACCCAGATAGGTCAGTTAGGTTTCAAGTCTTTTGTAAAGCCGTCTGATTGGGTCAGCTCAGTGACACGTGCGTTTCAAGCACGACCTGCAAGTGATTGGCAGAGCGCGGCCTAGCCGTTCAGGGCACCCCTGTCCCCACATGGCTTTATTAAGATTGTGTTGCCGCAACAGAAGATGTTCCTGCATCTAGAATCTAGATTCCCACAGTTCCAAACGATTCAACAGCGACAAGCCTTTAACGGCTGCAAGCTGTGCATCAAGTTCACAGACTTGCAGTGATGTAGAGGACACGCACCCTAGCCCTACTCTTCACACGTCTGCTTTGCCTTGCCATGGCCCGACAGTCAGAGGCAGGCCCGGCTCCCAGACGAATCCAAGGAGTGCCGTCTTCGGATCTTTGGACGATTTCTGCAAGCAATTTTCAAGTGGGCAGCGTGTCCTCAAGTCAAACTGAGCCCCACCCGCGACCTAAGGGACCTACAGGTATACCTGGACTGGAGGAGCATCCCCACAAAAGCTCAAAACCTGGGAGATGGGATGAGTTGGGGGCCTGGCCTGAGAGGCGAGGATTCGAGCTGCCAGCCGGCAGCAGTGTGCCCAACAGCCCTTCACTTCCTCGCGCTCTTCGACTATCCTGAGCAGGTGTCTTTCCCGTTGTCGCAGGAAGCACACTCTTGTCTTCGTTCGGAGATCTGACGTGCACAGTTGAAGCTTGCTCGCACCCACAAAACGTGTCACGCGGAATTCTAGGCCAGGGACTCTTGCTCCCTCTTCTCGAGGTGGAAGGCATCGACTACTTCTGTGGCCCTCTTGCGGGCTGCTGCCAGTTCACCTGGAGGGAGCATCGGTGCATCATGGCAGCTGTCCCAATCCAAACATCTGCAGATCTCTGCGGGCGAGCATCTGCGCATGCTGCCCGAACGATCCAATCCACCAGGGCTAGGGGATCCTGGGGATCGGTTTCCTGATCACGGGACGCAGGGTCTTGCAAGCGCTTTGCGAAGACACGTGCTTCAGATTCTGGGCTAGAACGTAACGGCCCTCAACAGAAGGTTTTCGGCCTCGGCACTTGTGCACACACACACACAGAGCAACACCGGCTCACTTCGTGTCGACTGTCAGTTCAACACGCACTCTCCATAGCTCAGACGAAACCCAGCTTGGTGACCCTCTCACCCGTCTGAAAACCCTTTCAAGGCGCCACCCCGCCTGGACTTTCACTGCTATCTTTCTTGAGCACACCACCACCCTCCTGCGGGCGAAGAAGCATGCAAAGAAGAGGCTACTGTCGGGCTGAGAGTGACGAAGAGGCTGACGCTGAGCGTTCTCTTGACATCTGAGTCAGACATGAAACGAGACATGAACACACCACCGCTTCATGTTCAAACGCTGCCTGCTAGCTAAAGCCAGCTGCTCAGAAGCCGCAGAAAGCTCCTCCTCCTCCTCCGTTTCCAAGACTCGGGACAGGTGTGGTGCGAATGCGGGCGAATCTGGGGGCCTTCTGGTCCAGTCTGCCTGATGGCAGGACGGATCTCTGCGAGCAAGACACCACATCTCACGACCCCTGAGGTTTGGCTCCGCCTGATCACTGATCTGATGGAGTCGAAGGTCCAAGTTCAGAAGCCAGTTCTCCAGGCGATCGAAGAGTGCTTGATTGTGCTGCAGCAGCACATCATGCACCATCTTGGACAACGCTGCAGGGTCGTCCATTGCTGCAGGTATGTGCGGGGCATGGGACCCCGTCATGAGGCAGGGAGAGTGCGTAGTAGCAAGAGACGCTGGAGACACTATGGCTTGGCACCTGCAAAGATCGCCAGCAGGTCAGCACAACCTTCTGCGCGTCGCCTCCTGAAGCCTGAAACCATTCTACCTGGCTGGGCTCGCTTTTGCTGCGATCTCTATGCTCTCCCTGCCTGAGCCTCGAGCCTTTCAGGCGTATCAGCGAGCCGAAACGTCTCCCGGTAGAGCAACACAGCTGTGGTATGCCGCCTGTGTCTAACCTAGATTTTGTTGAAGCCTTTGGTGCCTTGCCAGGGACAGTCTATCGGCGGCAAGCTTCTTTTGCTGAGACGGGCGCCATGCCGGTGCGTCAGCCTGCGGGTGAGGGGTCCAGTCCAGCTTCGAGCAAGCGGTGTCCTCAAGTCCTACGCCTAGGCCCCAAAATCTACACGCACGCTCACCTGCGACTAGGCATTGTCAACACATGCAGGATGGCAGGCACGTGTCCAGGCATGCTGAACGCGGAAAGGGAACCCAGGTGTCAGTGCCTATGCGTGTTCGCCGCTCTGCCGGCGGCCATTGTGTGTCCTGGCATCAAGCTGGTATATAACATGTTGAGAGAACGGCAAGCCGGCCGGCACGGCAAACAGCAAAGCCATGACACAGAACAAAAGGCTCGAGGTCGTCGTTTGCAAACCCCTCCCGCAGAGTGTAGCTGGACCGAAGCGTCGACTCACGCGGGACCTGTAAAGCAAAAGCTGGGTGATGGGGGCGGCTTGTGACCAGTGACCTGGAGTGACATATAGACTCATGGAGGGTGAAGTGGGAAGTGGGGCCATGTGGGGCCGAAACAACAAGCAAGAGCCGCTCCAAGCCTCCCCCATCACGACGCCAAAGGGCCTGGCCGGATCACGGCTGGAGAGGGGATGCTGAAGGGTGTGCGAGGTTGCATTGGTGCCATCCCACAGCAGTCGATGCAACCCCATCAATGCAGCATGCGGGACACAAACTGCCCACCGGCTCTGGTGTTACGCCAGGGGTCGTCACCCCGCCTTCAGCCTACTGTTCTGGCCCTGAAGTTCATACGGGCCCCGGGCGCAGCACTAAGGCGTGCTTCCACTGCAGCTTGCATATCCTCGAGGCACCAAGACCCCTCTGTGGAACCTACTGCAGGATGCACAAGTTGCAAGCGGTCCCTCCGAGGACCATGAAGAGCTCCGAGGGACCTGATAACAGAGAGACTCCCACCCGTAGGTATCTGATTCTTTTCCAGCCAAAACTACTGATCGCCCGAAGATGCAATAACTGGGGCACGAACACTGTGGATGCAAGGCCGACACCCTGAAAGATTGCAGACAGCCAATCACCATCAAGGCCAAATTTCGTGGTGAAGGGCACCTTGCACATCCTAGCGCCTTCCCTTCATCACAGCCATGTCCTGCCTTGCTTCCTTTGGTGGGGGGAAGGCTCCCATTGAACCTTGGCTGTGCCCTCCCCTGGCTATGCTCCACGTGTCATTCGATGCATTTGGCTTCAACTCAATTCCGATCGGGCTCTGCTCGCATTGCCGGAAGCCTTGCACTCTTTTCCGGCGAGATGGGCTGCAGCAAATCCCAGTCAGTGCATCGGTCGAGACTCTCGGCCGAGATGCCGGAGCTCGAGCCAGGGCCAGCCCTGAGGGCAAAGCTTAAGCGGCTAAAGGCCCGAAGGTCACCGCCGCACCGTATCCTACTGCAGGCAAGCGGCGCGACACAGCTCTGCCTAGGATTCCAATGGGAACATGGTCAAAGGGTAGTTCTCCACAGCATGTGATGACAGCAACTGACGGCAGTGATCTGATACTCAGCTCCAGCCAGAACATGCTATGGATCCACGATATTGACTTGCTCGCACACCACGCCGCATGAAGTGCGTCAAATCGGTGGGAAGCGGCGCAGAAGCCGTGACAAACTCACCTGCGCAGCCTATAGAAGTACTGCAAACACACTCGCCTGGGAGAGTCTTGCCTGCTGCTCTGAACGCCAGCCTGTACCTGCACAAAATGTTCAACTTGACAGCGACTGGACAAATACACTCGTCAGCACGTCCGCCTGTGTAGGAAATTCCGAGGGCATTTGCCATCACTGCGCATGGTACTTGTTGCCTGAGCTGCTGGAAAGGTCAGCTCAACGATCCGCAACAAACGCTCCATCAGAGGAGCAATGGCATACTGCCTTGCCGCCCCTGTTTCTCCATGTGAGGAGGACCGCCAGCAGCAATATGAATTGCTGATGCTACATGTCTCTTTGATTCTTTTGTTTTTTCAGGAGCTGCATTCCACAGCACGTTCTGCTCGCAGTGAGGGCTTCCTCGTTCTCGACAGGACGTGCTGGGCGTCACAGTGAAACTCTTCAAGGCAACGCGGCCGTTCAAAGAACGTGACTCTCTAAATGTGTTGGGAAGTCTGCAGGCGAGAAGGATTCCTGCTTTGCCACGTGTTGTGTTCTGATGTCCTCTCCGTGCTGCGACAATATGCGGACCTGTGGAACATCCTCCTGCAGAGGGCTGCTGTTCAGCCAGACCCCAAAATCCTAAGACGAGGCTCAAGCACAAGCCCCTTGTTGGGGCTCACTTGGCCAATTCCGCACTTCACAAGTTGAAAACCCGACGCCGTGTTCAGCGAGATTTGGGCGACCCAGGTGGCTTTGGTACTTTCGGCATGCTCTTTCTCCGCAACCTGGCCATCTTCAGTCACACTCTGAGCAACACTCACTTCGTATCTTCGCAGCCTGCTTGCCGGAGGTTCCAACGGCACGAAGTCGGGAGGAGGTCCTAGGCTGGCAGGCTCAGGTGCCACCCCATACATCGCTACTTCATCCTCAAGTGTTTTGTAAAGCCATACAGTCAGCCGCCAAGACACCCCAGCCAGGAGGCAGCGGCGAGTTAAAGACAAACTTTCCTGCCGACTTTTTCCTTGGGTCGAGTCGTTAACCGCGGGCTGTGCGACTTGCGACCATGCTCCTTGCGAAAAATTGTGGATGGGCCAAAGGTGACAGTCCATCCCCGGCCACTGGTGCGGAATGAGATGCTCTCGGATGCGCTCGACGTGGTGACTCTCCGCATGCTTCATTCCTTGCAGATCGCGCAAGCTTGATCTTCAAGCTTCTGCTGCGGGCCACAGAAACCACCAAAATCCGCAGTCCTTGCGTTCAGCATCACCCTGCAGCCAGGGAGCGGGGGCTTGCACCCAAAGGCGCCCGGGCATTCAGGATTGCCTCGGTCTGCTGCCGCCGAGCCTCCATGGACCTGATCAAAGCAATGGCTTGTGGCTTACGAGTTTTGGAAACAGCGCCAGTGCCGTATCCGGGTCGAGTAACTTCTGCATCCGGTAAGCGGTCCATTCCTGAATTGGTGCCGTGAGAGAGCCGGCTGTTCCCAGTCTAGACATGAAGGGCATTGCCTGACCTCTGTCAGCTCTCAGCTGAGATGCCACTTTGGAGATGCCGAGTTCCTGCCAAGTCAACCTGGCATCATCACAGGTTCAGACCCTGCAGCCAAACCACTGCAGAAGTAACTTCATCAACCTCATTGAAGCCAACGCAAAGACGCGGTGATAGCCAACACGCTCAGTTCTATCGCCCGATTCTTCCCCAACCAGCCTCCCAAGTCCCCCCTCGCCAATCAGCGCGCGAAAGAGTCGCCGAGCCTGGAAGCATGTTGCTTCAAACGCCCCAAGCATGTAACTGCAAGCCGTTTCGTGTCGGAGATCCGACTGCAGGTTGGGGCTGGCTTCCCTCAACTAGAACACACGGGTTGGCCTCACCGTGCCGACAGTAGCGCAAGAGGTTGGCGACCACAGACTGGAACTCCACCTGAGATAGGTCGTTCTTCATGCATCTCGTGGGTATTTTGGTACTCGGCCGAAACATGACGACCTCGTGGCCGCATGACCAGAAATTGCACGCCAAGGGAGGAGTATCATAAAGACCCTGAGCATTTCCCACTGCCTATCAGCGGATATACAAGTGAAGGCTGTCAAGGATCGAGTGAGAGCTCTCCACTCCTCAGGTCAGGCAGTTCAAAACAAAGGCCATACACTGACTGTCTGAGACAATACAACCTTTCTTCAGGACAGACACGGAGGGCCCAAGACCAAATCCCTCTACCCTCGCGGTTCGCCGTACTCGTCCTCTGCATCCTCTATGAACTGACGCATTAAAATACTCAGACGGCCATCCCAAAAGCAGGCTCTAGATGAAGGCATCCCAGGGTCTTGTTTGCATCCATTTCCTTGCAAGCAGGGCGGGCGGCCGTGAGCTGCCTCTTCCCAGAAAAGAGGAAAAAAAGAAGAGCAAGCAGTCCTCGAAGGCCTGCGGCAGCGATCCGAAGGTCTTGCTCAGGTACTCCCGGAAATGCCGCACTTCCTACATGGCTGGGGCTGCACGTCCAGCGAGCTACACATTCCTGGCGCTGCCGGGCCAGCAAAGCCGCATTTTGTTTTAGACTTTCTCACCCCAGTTGGCTCCTTTTCCATGTCCATGGAGACCTGAACCCCGCGATGCAAGGGAGGAAAGCTACGACAGCTGTTCTGGTCCAAACAAATTCTGCCGCCTGCTCGGAGTACTCGGTGGTGTTTGATGAGCGGCTTGGATCCAGCACCCTCGCATGCAAGACCGGTCTTGAGTCTTAACTAAACAGAAGGGGAAATGCTTTCCCGAAACCAAAACTGCGGGACGTGTAAGCCACACCAGCGTTGCACACCGCTACAACTTGTCTTCTGAAGTCTGCCACGTCCACCGGACTGCTCAAGCTGAGCGGCTGTGAGGTCAAGAAAGGATCCTGTGATGCTTCACCGTGTGAAATCACGCGGGCTCTGCACTATATGATCGTCCGAAACCACTCAGCATGTGTGACAGTCTGCGGCAGCGGCAGTCCCGGTTTACCCAGCGGAGGCCCAGACGACGTCTCTCCAGCTTGCGCCTCTTCGTCTCCTGACCCCCAGTGACCACGCGACATTCACCGGTTTTGCCACTGTGAGCTATTGCTATTTTGGCTTCAAGGCACCAGTGGCCCCCCCCTCTCCCTTCAGATCTCTGCTGGCCTCCCAGTTTTGGAGGAATTGCAGGTCCTGCCCCGGATTTGAAGCAGCTTCAGGTGCGAACTCCTTCTGCGACAGAGTCGAAAATGCATTTCCTAGGATCCTGCCTCAAGGGCCAAATGCTGGCCGGCATTCTTCAGCAGCAGCTGGTGAAAGAGTTCCTCCGCCTTGACAAACGTTTCAACAACTCTCCGACGCTGCCCGTTTGCCAATGGATGCCGCCGCTTCAATGGCTCCCGCCCGTGCCTCCATTTCGTCTTCATAACCCAGCGCATGGCAGCCCTGGATGAAGAGCTTCAAGTTGACAGCGTTCGTTCTCTCAATGTCAAAGATGTTCTGGCCAGGCAGAACGAAACTACGATCGTTATGTTCCAGAGAAAGGAAGGTGGGCCTTCCACATGTGCTCGATGGAGTCGTGATGCTGCAGGCTCACTACTCGAAACTTCTCCAAAGCGGCCGCTGCTCGCGGATCTAGCTCCTCCAGCGAGATACTGCCTGCAGGGCTCTGACAGAGCTTGGGAAGACCATTCCATCACCCACCCAGTGGAACAACACAAGTGTCAGAGCGCAATCTGTTCGGCTACTCGTAACCTGGCAGGCGGAGGACGCACAAAGCCACGGAAGCTTAAGCTGGATGCCAATTCAGGCATAAGCGACCATGCCATTGGAGTCTGGTGCCCTTTTGAAAGGACGACTTGATTACCGTTATCTGAGGCCGCACTGCCGCACCTGCGTTGGTAGAGTCCAGAAGATGCCACAGCGTGCGAATGTTTCCGACATACCCCATGCGGTTGAGGGCCTGCAAGAACATGCCGAAGTTTAGGGAAACTCAAAGCTTGCAACATCAACCAAATGGTATACCGTCCGTCTCAGCTCCACCACTTTCCCCTTAGTTCTGCGACACTGACATCCGGTCCTGACAGAACTCGCGCATGTCCATCTTCCCGCTGCCATCGATGTCCAGCACCCGCCAGGCCCGCGACAAGGTGCCGAACTTCGACACGAGCACCTACCAAGCGATGCCAGTACCGCGAAGAAAAGCACATCATGTTGCATCTCTCAAGTTGATGCCGATGTCCACCGGAGCGAAGTGCTGCAGCCAGGGTGCATCCTTGAACTCATCGACGGCACTGCACCGGGAAAAGAATGATTGGGACGTGCGGTAACTGTCACCCATTCCCGATTCTACGAGCATTCGCCGCCGGAGATGTGGGCCCGAATTCCACCACATGGCGTCTTGCACGGACAGCTGTCGCCGTCATAAGATAAGCCACCCCCGTAGCCGCTACCTTGAGCCTAGATATTCAGCAAGAATGACAGGCCGTGTCATCGTCACCCGCGGCCACTTGGGTGGAATCTCCTGGCACTTTTAGATTTCCAGAAAGCCGGTTAGATTAAGTAGTGCGCCTGGGCCTCTAATTTTTTCGAAAGTTTAGAGACTGGGGCGCTGTGCATGCTGCCACCACAAGAATAGGGTTTCTGAGACCCCGAAGCCCCCCCTTTTGACATACTTTTGGAAAACTAACACCTGGCACTCGAAATCTCAACAACTTTGGCGACCCATGCTGCCAAAGCACGCTATATTTGCCGTCCGACAAAGTTGGGTGGCCAATGTGGGCCATATGCAAGCCTTATATAGGGCCGGCAGCATCATCCGGTGCTTTGGCCAGACCCCGAATCCGGCACATCAACGTGTCTCCCACCACACCCTGCTGCCCTCTGGCTCCAAGTGGCGGATCTGGTGCATGCCTCGGGAAAGGCAGCACAAACCTTAGACATGCCTTTTTCACACTCAGATGAGGTGCGGCCGGTCACCAAGCGGATAGAAACGAGACAGCAAGAAGCCATTGCCACCAAAAAGTAGCCCGAGACTTTGAGCCCTCAGGAGACGTGCGAACAGGATGGTGTGTGCTGACCCAGTCTCAAAGCGCTCGTCTTAAAAGAATCCGGCTCTGATCCTGGATCCGCCGAGGTTCTTGTGCAAGCCACTTTGCCAGATGGTGACACCGAGCACTGATCCAGTTGACCATTACGCCAGACATGCACTCGAGCGCGCACCTAGGCAATCCCTGATAAAGCACAGCACCATCGGATCTGTTCTGTCTGTGGCACATTAAAGCCAAGGCTCACAAGTTCTTCGGCTCGACAACCAACCATGACACATTGCCCCATATTCCTCGGTACGTCTGGGTAACTTTTGTCTTGGTTAAAGTTTGGCCGCCAGAATTTGCAGAGCTGCCCCTAACCTGGACAAGCCACTCGAAGCAAGGAGCCTCGGAGTCTCATGTGTTGAAGGAAAGCCTTCTGGAAGCTGAGCTCCAAATGCTGCGTCTGCAGCATGCTGCAGCCAAGATGCCGACTTGCAGCTGGAGCTGAAGGTCGAAATATGCACGGTGGGTTTTTGCCACAAGGATGAGGCCAGAGCTGGGCACATCCAAGCCTCAGAACATGAGAGACGTGGATGCACTATGGCATGTCAGTGCCACTCTGGGCGGCTCCCAAGCCTCCGAGGCCCAGGCGGTGGAGGAAGCCCCGAGTTGCCGCCAGATCACCCAACACTGGAAACTGGCGGAGAGGGTACTGGGCTTCCAGATACTCTCCCAGGGACCCGACACCTCAAAGCAGACCGCAACCCTTCAGTGCTTGGCGTACCAACAAGAACGAGTCAGGCCAACTTTCACCAGCCACTGTTTCGCTCGGTTTCTCCCGAGTCGACGGACCAATATGGCGGCTTGCAAACCACGAGCAGCTCCTGTACAAAATCAGGTCGAGGCTACAGTCATTGGGTTAGCCAAGCGCATGCCGAGCAAGGCACCTCGCTCTCCAAGGGAACCAACAGCTCGCGGGAGCTTGTGCTCGGCAGCAGGCCTAAGATCCGTGTTGCTGGCTGCCTCGTGCGCTGCCAAATCTGCCAACCGTCTCCGCTTGGACTTCTTGCACAGTTACACCTCTCCCAGGCCTTGCCATCGCCACGGACGCAAATCTCAGAGCTCTCGCTGTAGCAACCAACATCCTGTATCAGCCATGCATTGATTGTCACCCCAGCTTCATGTCTTATCTTTTTGACTATACACAAAATACCACAACCTACGGCCTGGAGACATGAAATTCCAACGCTACCCCCCTAAAAGTCCTGGACTGCAAGCAGCCAAGGTAGTTACAAGCCCAGGCAGCAGTCAGAGCAGAAGAGCTGCAGTCCAACTGCATGGAAGAACTCCACCTGAGACGAGACAGCCAACCACTGACTCCAAACTCTAAACGATGATTGTCCTTCCATTCCATCCACCAGAAGCGTGGACTCTATCTGCTTCCACCAAGACACGTACCCCGCTCACAGGAAGCCACCATGTCCGCCAGCTGTTTCATCATCTCCTTTTCGCGGGAGATGTGCGCGGGGGAATACGTGCTGTCATGTCCCCAAAATCACCCCTCAGCTGCAAGGCTCCATATCTTCGCTTGTCATCTGGATAGCATCATTTGCTGCGCGGTCAGCTTGCTGGTTGCAGGCCGCACTGTTGCGCGTGAGACAAGCAGCCCGGGGTACAGGAATCTCGCTCCCCGTAGGCACGCACTATCAAAGAGCATCTTTCTCCTAGACGAGGCCATGCTCACTCAAGCCTAGCTACTGTAGGATCCGGACCACAATCGGGGAAGCAACAATGGCAACAGCTCGGCTCGTTGCGTATACTGATACCGTTTCACCTTCGTGCTTTCGGCTTGCAGTCCGGATCCGTGACCGCGCGGCAAAACACATCTTACCGCAATGCGGCTTGCAAGCTGCAGGAGGGAACCTGAATCACATGGCAATGGCACTGTAGTTTCTTCCGGCCACTGAGATCAACATCCTGCTTTGAAACCGATAGCGTTCGTGGCTTAAACGCCGGAGCACGACACACATAATTGCTCGTCCCAGCAACACCACAAACTCGCCGGACTTTGCCGCTGCGCCGGTGTGGATCAAAGCCCTTGCATAGCTGCGAACAAGTCCTGCCACGGCGGCCCGCGCCCGTACTAGTCAAGGTGTCTTCGGTGTCTGAGATGTCTGCTAGCTGCTAGCCCCAAGTTGTCACAACGTGGGCATAGCAAGGACAAGGAGGCCTGTGTAGCACTGCAAAAGCTTCTTCACGGCACTGGTCTGAAACCTCAGAGGCGGACATTCAATCAGAACTAGACCGTTCGGGGTTTCATGTTGCGCTCACTGCTGATGGCAACGTACCAATGCCTGTGCTGCATGTTGCTCAAGCCGAAAGCGCCGTTCTATCATTCAAATGCTTGGTTCATGGCATCGTCGCTCTCCCGCAAGAGGCAAGGATCTGCGAGAAGGAGGTCCCCTTGTCCCGTCTCAAGCCCTTGGTGCAGAAGCGAAAGCAGCGCCCTAGCGTCTAGATGTGTTCAGATGCAATGTTTGGGGTCCCGGTTCTGTGACAGCTGAGCTGCCCTGCAGGTCGAAGGGAACGGTGCGGCCACCGGTCTGCCACGCCACATAGTGGAAGAAGGTTTGGGCCAACTCGTGATAATCTTCCGTACCATCCAACATAAACTTTGTTACGTCGGTCGACGGGTAATCCATGATGACCACATAAGAGTCCTGCCGTCATCCCTCCGCATCTGCTAGGAGGCTGGGCACAAAAGTTAATGCGGCAGCCTTTCTTATCTTTCCTTCATTTCCCACTTACTTACATTCCGTAAGGCATCCGCTTTTTGTAGCGAGCACTTTGGTTTCATGTGACCAATAGTCTAGGGACACCGCAACTATCGATCATTGCTGCCTTGCGCTTTTCAGCAACCCAGCTCCGAGAGCGTTAACTGTGTGATCTTGCTGTCGAGCACGCGACAGCCCACAGGCGCGCAGATCTTGACTTGAGGGGCTTCCCCTCCACCTGCAGAAACCACGCGGGGAGAGATTTGCAAAACTTGCCAAGGGAGATTTGCTGCCCGGCAGCCATCAGCCAAAGCAATCTCTGAAAGGTACTGGTTGAAGTTTGCAGCGTGCCTGTCACGATAGGTGCGCTTCCACAGGCGAAGGTTGGCCGACTCTTGCCAAGGCACTGGATCAGCTCTTTGCTGTCGTGCAACGCCAACATCGTGTGAGCGAGGGTTTGCTCGCTCAAGGATGCACAAATATCTAGCAGCACATACCTCAGGTTCCAGGCCCGATTCTCGCCAACTGCAATGCAATATGCTCTTCGAACTTCGAAGTGACTCAATGACATTTGATGCCTGATTGTAGAACCCTGGAGGCAGACATCTGGATATGTTCCGCGTGTTCAATCCGCTTGTTCAAGCCTGGGCACCTGGAGGTGCCTTCCACTCGCGCCCGCATGAATACATGGGGCATACACGCTCTCTCCTTACCAGCTCATTTCAGATTTCCAAAACTGCGATCCCAAAACCAAATAAATAATTTCCATCGGCCCTGATCTCAAATTCAGACTCAGGTACTCGCGTCTCCAGAAAGGCAGATTATTGTGCGAAGGCAAGATTCCGTGGCAGGCCATGTGAAGGGAGGCTTTCCCCCCGATTGGACGCGCCGCGCCATGCTGAAGCGCGACGCAAACTGGGAGAAAGCTCCTTGGCTGGGAGCACATCCAAACCTGCATCGACCTCAAAAAAGCAAGAGCTCGGTCTTTCTCCAGGCATCCCAGAGTTTCGATGCCCTCCAGGATGACTTCGTCCGTCAGCCGGAAGGGATTTCCATGCACTCCTGGGCCGTCCTCCCAGGTGCCATGCGGTGACATCTGGAGACGATGCTTAGGCAAACTGGGGGGCAGATTACATGAGGTTAAGCCACACTATCTGCTCAGATAAGCTTCCCGGATTGGAGCGGCATCGATGCGAAGCAGCAGCTGTGGCCCATACTGCTGGGACAGTGCTGATGAAAGCTCTTCCTCATCCATAAAGGCGGCATCCAGCACATTACGACACACGGAGATGGCAGTCCCCATCTTTGTGGGGACCAGGGGCTACACGGGGGCTTCGTGCCGCGTGAGCCAGATGGCTCTGCATGGTCACATCAAACACCGCCGAGAGGAATAGTGTTTTCCTAGTGACAGTGCACTAGACCCGTGTGCTACCGATGCTGGGGGCAGCAAGCGTTGCACAACACGTCTTGGCAGTCTTGGTTGCAAATAAAGAGTCTGACGTGCTTACACACTGCCGCTCGGAGTCCTTCTGCAAAGGGAGAAGCAGGTCCAAATCCCACACCTGGTAGGGAAAAGAGCCAACCGCACAACACAGCCTGCGTGGCACGTTGAGGTTGTTGAGGCTTTGAGGTATAGTGCCGCCTCGAGATTTGCCAGCGCCCATGCCAGATGGCCAAGCTCACGCCAAGTCAGACGCCCTTGTGAAAGCAGCTCCCTCGACATGGTCCTGGTACATGTCATTTCTATGGAGCACGAACAGATCCAAGGAGCTCGAAACGTCCTGATGCTAGAGACTCGCAACACCGGAGCTCCCCCAAACCATCGCAACATCATATCGTAACTTCTGCCGAGCGACAGAAGATGCGAGAGGACGGCCGTTTCTGCAAAGCCCACCGATGACAAGCACCAAACCTCAGGGAGTGAGAAGTGGTCTCTGATGCACAACCCGCCCGTGACATGTGCCAGAATGTCAGCATACAAACATACTAAGATATACTAGCCACAGTTCAGGCCGGGGCACGAGCAGCACGATTTCTTGCGGCTTCCTTACAGGGTTTTGTTGGGCGTGCCTTCATGTGAAACTCGCAGATGCAGCGGTTCAGGAGGCCTACTCTTGCGATGATTTGCGATGGCAAACGGCATGTCAAAGAGCGCTCTGACGCACACCACTTCATCCGAAAGTCGCTCGAGCAGTTGAGACTGGTCCGCAGGCGGAACGTAGAAGCTGAACATCCTCTCAGGGATATGTCGACGGCCGCAGTAGAAAGAACGACACGCTGTGCAGCGCCTCCGGCAGCAGAGAAGGCTGCTGGGCGAGCCTCCGGGTGCAGACACAGACTAAGCAACACCTCCAGAGACAGGCATCAGGTAGCCTGCGCAGGAGATTTTGGAGCGTTCCATCTTCCACTCCGCCTGAGGCACAGCGGGGCAAGCTGCTAGCCTTCACGTAAGACACCTGTCCGAACCGATCTTTGTCTTAGAGACCACGTTTTGCCCACTTCTGCAAGAGCGCCTGTCGGATTTTTGCCAACAACCTGCAGGGACCACTGCCACTGTTCCTGGGTCCAGGCACATGTCCGCTCAGCCACCCAGAGACATCAGACATGAGGTATAACTACATGGGGGTTCCATGGTCCTTGCTTCACGCCACCAAGCCGCAGCACCGTCGCAAGCCATCCTCGTGGAGCCCAGACTGATCCCATCATGCTGCAATCCTCGCATGAAATCTCAAAATATTGCTGCTCATGATTCTAATTGCCTCAACCTGCACGACCAACAGCAAGGCTAAGGCACTCTGCTGGGGCATGGCCCACAGAAGCTGAAGCACAACAGCCCATTTCTTTGCCTAAGCTTTCTTGCACGGACGCATCTCATTGCCGAGACTGAACCGTCTCTGCTTCCGAGCAACCTTCTCGCATGCGTGCATGGCTGCATTGACAGCGATAACATTCCTGACACGCATGCCGAATGACGAAAACCTCTCAAGTGTCCGTGTGTGCTGTGTGGTGTGGTGCCTTCCAAGCTGCCAAGCATCAGCTGCAGCAGAGACGCGGCCATGCCTGTGTACAGAGCCAGAGCTGCCTTCGCAGGCTGCACGGAAGCAACTGAAAACGGTAGAAGGGCAGATGCTGTAATCCCTGTATATACTCCACAAGCGTTGTTCCACATGCCAAGATGCCTGCCACTGACCGGAGCGCGCACATGCACTGATAGCCGCGGACACGCTGATGTTGTCTGGCCTCAGGTCCTGCAATTCGTGCTTGCATGATGACTGGCACAGCTTGTTGGAGCCTGCATGTTAGACGTCCATACCTACACGGTGCCGTCGCAACTGGTGGAGAGATGATCCCGTGTGCCATCTCTGCACTCGGCAAATGTTAACAGAGTTGTTCTCATCTGGCAAGGCTATCCTCAGCAACAGGAGCACAAAAGCAGCTTCAGCCACTTTCTGAATGCTTTGAAAATATTACAGAGACGAATGCTTCTTACACAATATGGCCTCTTAAGCATGCTGAGACTAAACAATTCCGGGAAGAGTTGCAAATAGCTGCAGGCTTTGAAGGAATCTGGCACCGCAAACACAAAGCGGGAAGACGTGAGTTTCGGCATGAGCTCATACCTGACGCCGTTGTGTTAATGCAATGCACGCAGGAAATACCCAAGAACTTATCAGGTTCGGCATAACTCATGGGTTGGACCATGGAAAGCCAATGTGAGTGAACCATGGACACTCTGGCCCCGTTGCAAGCTTTCCAATCGCAGCTGATAGCAAAATGATTCGTCAGTTCTTCATGATGGGTTGTCGTCGAGCTCTCACACACTCCGAGGCTCTCTGGCAAATGACACACAATTACTCAAGGCTTCCCGAGGCCCATCAAGAACATCTACAGTGCAGCCGGGGGAAGCGAAAACGAGCAAGACACACAAGAAGACCCAACAGCGGAGTGGAGAGCTCCAAGGTGGTCATGAGATGTGGGCCTGCTTCGCCATGTCGGAGAGCAGCACCAAGGCCATTGCCCAGCTTCCAGCACGCTCGCACGCAGTGATGGCTGAATTCACACAGATCTCATTCAGCATGCCACGTGCGGACCTTATCTCAAAGACCACCTATGCAGGAGGCCCATGATTCGCCTTCTGCCTGTCGGCTTCGGCTTTACCAAGACAGCCGAGCGTCAGCTCCGACAGGAGGGCCACTGCCATCTGCCACTCTCCAGCCTGTTTCGCTGCATGCCACACAGGAACCTCCTGCTAAAAACGGACTTTATTTCTGGTGGTGATGGGCGGGAAAGAAACCCCTGTGGCTTGCTTCTTGTCTTCCGGTACAGTACAGACATGGGTAGTCAATTCAAAGTCGTGCTTGAGACGGTGCCTTCGCACAAGCACCAATCACAGCACCGTAGGCAACGATGTCAGCACCGGGGATCTGTTGCAGCAGCTCCTGCGACAAGTCAAGATCCAAAACAGCTTCCAAAAAAATTTGGGATCCTATCAGGCCCGTTTAGATTCGAGCTCCGAACTGCGGAACCTTCGGCAGGGCTTACACCGCGAGACTGCCCTTGGTGGCTCCAGTGACTGCTTCCAGCGCCCCAGGGGCTCCAAGCCAGAGACCATCGCCGTGTAGGAGATAGCATCCTGCCCAGGTTGTTCCCGATGTTCAGCGCAAGCCGCTAGCTCTCTAGCCCTGATGTGGGTCTAAGTTGTTGGAATGTCAATAGTCAGTAGTACAGTAGCAGTAAAGAGTAGTATGGCAGCCATGCAAAACCAGAGTTTGGAGCTTGGGGCTGAAGCCCTGAAGGGGGGGGGGGGCTCCTAAACCCCTTTTTGCAACGGCCTTGTCAGATCTCGACCGGGCTCCTAAACCCCTTTTCAGCACGGACTGAGGTGCCGGCCAGCGCCCACGCAACCCTCACCCCGTCTTAAGGCAAGAGCGCGAAGGAAAAGCTGTTGATGACAACTGACGGA